GTAATCCGGCCTAAGTTGGCCTAAATCGGGTAAAGGCTGCCTAAAGTATGTCAAAGTCGTTGTAAGTGGGCTAAGTGGGGTTACGGTAGTTCAAAGCATGCCAAAGCAGTTGTAAACCAGCCTAAGTTGGCCTAAGTCGGGTAAAGGCTGCCTAAAGTATGTCAAAGTCGTTGGAAGGTGGGTTAAGTGGGGTAAAGGAAATTCAAAGCATGCCATAGCAGTTGTAAACCGGCCTAGTTCGGTCTAAGTAGGGTAAAGCATGGTTAAAGTATGTCAAAGTCATTGTAAGGTGGGTTAAGTGGGGTAAAGGAAGTTCAAAGCATGCCAATGCAGTTGTAATCCGGCATAAGTCGGTTTAAGTAGGGTAAAACATGGTTAAAGTATGTCAAAGTCATTGTAAGATGGGTTAAGTTTGATGAGAGCCATAGCTTGAATAATAATAAATAACACTAAATTCTGTTAGTAGTGTATATACACCGGTTCACGGACATCACTACAGCAACTATCCCCTAACTTGTAAAAATACCAGTACTTCATGTAAGACAAAATATAATGTACCTGGGCAAGTTTGGGCATGCCCAAAATGGGAAATCCGCATCCTGAAAAACGAAATTCCAGGATTAAACTGTGACGTCATTTACGGTTCTACAATCCCTTGCGCCCCACCGGGAACCCTCTGTCTCCCAAAATCTCTTCCCGATCAAGCGCATCCTTTACGCATCCTTCCCAAGTCCTTCCCCAGGCCTCAGCCACAACTTCCGCGCGCCTGTTAGAGTTTTCTTAAAGTCTTCCTAAAGTCTTTCCGGGGTCTTCGTAGGGTTATTCCATCCGCAAGCAGTTTAAAGAAAAGTTTTCCTAAATTAAAATAAAAGCATGAATATTGCTGAGGGGCTGGTAAGGGATCATTTAGCTCTTGACGAGCGTCGGAAGAACATGGAGCTTTTCAGGATAGGGGAAAAGGAGTACCTGGGTTCCATCGGTCCGGAAGAGCCGGATTCAATTCAACATACAGATGAAGAGATTCCTAACCGGAAGTTGTGCTTTGGAGGACTCAAGCATCAGTTTATTGATATAGACGGGGAAAAGACCTGTAATGAGTGTGGGTTAGTATCTGGTCTGGCTCCACATGTTTTGGAGTATGGTTGCTGGGATAGGGCAGGTGTGGATGGTCCGGACAAGAGTAATGTTAGTTTTAAGATGCTACCACCTAGGAATTACAAATAAACGTGTCCCTGAAACATATAGCTATATGATGAATAATCAAATCATTAGCAGAGTATCTTCTACCAAATACCTGGGCATTACTATAAACCACAACTTGAACTGGAACAAACATTGTGACATCATATGTAGTAAGGCAAATAGCACTCTTGGCTTACTTAGAAGAATCCTTGGTGAATGTAGCGCTGCTGTTAAGCCAAGAGCGTATACTAGTCTTGTCCGTCCACAACTTGAGTATGCTTCTACAGTCTGGAACCCTTACACCAAGAGGAACATCTACAAGATCGAGATGGTTCAACGCAGAGCTGCTAGATTTGTCTTCAATGACTATTCCAAAGCTAGCCACGTCTCTCCAATGATCGACCATCTGGGTTGGGACAATCTCCAACAACGGCGACTGCTACACCAAGCCACTATGTTCTACAAGATCCATCAAGGCCTTGTTGGAATCAGTCTTCCTGACGACGTGTGTCCTTTGACTAGAGCATCCAGGCTGCCTAATATCTGTCCTTACCGCCAAATTCAGTCGTGTGTCAATGTATATAAGTTTTCATTTTATCCAAGAACAATCGTTACCT